TACCAAAATTATCCTCAAACTTTTATTTTTGGTACCAAAATGGTCCTTCCGTCAGTTAAATGACAGGTGGCACGTTATCTTGCCACAAAATTACATTTTAAAAAAATTAATAATTACATGGAAAACCCACGTAACGTTATTTGCTGAGATGGCACTTTTGTTTTTACACGTGGCATTTTTTATTTAAATAAAGACCTACATAATTTATTATTATATTATTATATTATTATTATTCTTCTTCTTCTTCCTCCCTTCTCTCTCTCATCCCTCTGCCCCTTCCTCGATCTGTCGAGCTCGGACCCAAAAATGAGCCGGCGCTGCTCGCATTGCAGCCACAACGGCCACAACTCCAAGACATGCCCCAACTGCACAGCTTCTATGAATGTTCGTTATTCTTCTTCTTCCTCCCTTCTCTCTCTCATCCCTCTGCCCCTTCCTCGATCTATCGAGCCCGGACCCAAAAATGAGCCGGCGCTGCTCGCATTGCAGCCACAACGGCCACAACTCCAAGACATGCCCCAACTGCACAGCTTCTATGAATGTTCGTGTGCTTTTCTTTATGCATGTTTGAAAAAAACCCAGATCTGGGTTTGAGAAAAACCCAGTTCTCAAACCCAGATCTGGGTGTCTCCCAGCTTAGATAATGAAGCAGAAGCAGATTCACAATTTCTGTTTCTTTAAACGCCATCACTGCTGCTTCTTCCGGTGTTATCCTCGCTATCCATGGCGCCATCACCTCCACCATCACTCACGTCGCCGTCACAACCGTTGCCATTGCCTCGGGTGCTTGTCTCTCCACCAAGGTCGACTTCTTTTGTTTTTGGTTTTGTTTCTTTGTTTCTTTTATGGAGCAATTGTTTGTGGTTGTTTGTGGAGAATCTCTGTTTCTCTCAAGAACGCATGAGAAACAAAAATTTTTGTTCTGTTTTTTTGAACTTTTATGGTTAATTCTTGGTCTTGATTCTGCTACTTTCTTTGTCTTGATGGAACTAGAATTTTTGGTTCTCTTTAAATCAGTTCTCGCTGGTTTCTGTGCTGATTTCGCTAGCATTTTGGGTTATGGTTTGCTACAGATTGAGTCTCCAGTGGTTCGGTACTGTTTCTTTTTGATTTATTCGCATCCACGTGATTTGTCTTGATTTGGTGAAATTCGAATGCGTGTATTTGAGGTTTTTTTGTTGGATTGTGATTTAGTTTCTCTTTTGTTGTGTTTCAGTGGTGTCGGAGGAGTTATTTAGGTTTGAGAAAAACCCAGATTTGGGTTTGATTTGGAGAGGAAGAAGAAGGAACAAGAGAGAGAAAGTGAAAGAGGAAGAAGAGATGATATTGCAACTTTTCCGCAGATGTGCCTTGTTTAGTATAATGGAATGATTTGTATTGCTTTTTTTATTATCATCAGCTTCATTAGATCGTTAATTTATGTGAT